GTCTAATTCCTCAGGTAACATAAATAAATATTTGTTAGACTTTTATTTGCCAGGTTGAACACTTACCCGATGTAAAGTGATTCTCCAGGGTCACTGAACGCCTGCTCCCAGTGATCGGGCATCATGCCTCTGATTCTGGCACCTCTTCTGCTGCCGATGATCCCATTCTCTATGCCATGACCCTCGACTCCGCTGCTGGATGCCCGGGGCCGACCGGGGGACCGGTGGCCAATAGGAATGCTTACTCCTGCAGAGCCACCTGTAATGATAACGATAAAAGTTAAAACACAAACATTTACATATCCAACAAAACAAGAAAGTTTCTCTGCAAGCAAAATGTATTGATGTTTGTTCTGACAACTCATGGAGAGTCAGCATCTCTGCCACTTCTGTCCACCCACTGAGGAACAAGACTGTGTGGCCATGCGTGTCACACAACAAGCAGAATGAAAATCAGCATTTTCCCCCCCTTAACTGTCCTTGTAGCTGTCCTTCAGCTTTCAGCTCCAACACAGATCGGCGAGATCTCTGACACTGGGGGCACCCAGAGTCCTGCTGCACATGACAAGTACCGCCGAGCAATCCACCCACAAAGTTACACTTGAAAAGATGACTCAGCAGAGGTCAGAGTGTTGGACGACTCTCTTTTCAGACTCCGTCCTGCATTCACCCCCACTGGTCCCAACTGCATGCCGAACCTACCTGACTGTTTGGAGTGCTATCTTTCTTTGTAATTATCTGGACGTCTGCCTGCCTGCATTTTTCTCCACCCACTCCAACTCCCTCTCTCCTTCTGCAGCAGTCTGGCTTAATGCTTCAAACCTCCCCTCCCTCCCTGCCAAACCACCTCCCTGTGATGCTTCTTCTTTTGTTTACTTCACCCTATATGCTCTTCTTGACTCATAATTAGGCCTGCTGTCACCATAACACATTTTGTCAGAAGATATATTGTCCCAGAGGTTATTGTGATAAACGATAATATTGTTGTTTTGAGACCATTTTCAAGAAATATTATAATATAATTAGTGGTGCACAGATTTAAGTTTTCTGGCCGATTACAGATCTTTAAGAAATTATTTTTTTGTCTGAAATATTACCAATTGTGCCAAGAAAATCACTGAGTTGACAACAGAGGGATGACTACTGTTGCCTGCAAACATGACCTGGTGTTTGGGTCAGTCAAACCTCTCTCTGTTTAGGTGTATTATTATTGACTGTTTGCAACTATGTCACTTAATTATTAGAGGCACCATGATGGAAGTGAGGGATCGGGAGTCTTGAGAAGCGCGACTGAAGTTGTTTTTAATAGCCAATACATATTAAAACAATATTATGAAGTTAATGACTTAAAACAAGGTTATTTCAAGTCTAATAAGATATTTGCACAAGAAACTAGACCAGGGATGGGCAATCCTGGTCCTGGAGGGCCGGTGTCCTGCAACTCTTAGGTGTCTGCCTGATCCAACACACTTGAATCCAATAACTGAATCACCTCCCAAGTGCAGTCAAGTTATCCAGAGTCCTGCTAACGACCTCATTATTTGACTCAGGTGTGTTGAAGTTGAGACGCACCTAAAAGTTGCAGGAGACGGCCCTCGAGCCTGACTCCACCCCTGCACTAGACTAAAATACTTTGTAAAACTTTGTGTTTTTTTGCAGTGTAGGAACTACAGCACTTTGAATTGCCTCGTTGCTGAAAATGTGCTATATAAATAAAATGACCTTACCTTACCTTACAGGACTGCTTTATCCTGGTATTTATTGAGTCATTAGTAGCTGCCCATGAATTTTTTTAACCATGCTTTTACTTTCATTGTATTTTAAAAGCAAGATTTTCACATCCAGTGAAATTTTTCTGTATTGACTGTTTTTTCCTAGAGTTATAAAACTGGATCTATTTCAACACTTATGATTAATCAGCTTCTGATTCTGTCACAAAGGAAAAATAACTATAAGCTCTTTGGATGACAAAAATTCAATATATTTGAATTTATTTCTTGGCAAGGTGAATTTAATACATTTATTCCAGTAAGTCTAGCTTCTGACCATAATTTAACTGTTTTGTTTTTTTTTTGCTTTGGCTCACACTTTTTATGCTAGCCTATCTGCTTAGTCGTTGCTTGTTTTAGGGATCCTAAGACAAAACGACCTTCCTTTGGAGGAGATCCAACAATCAATGAGGCCACAGCTCCACCGAGACTTTTCAGCATACTAATTGTGCTAATGATTGATTAATTTGGGGATCAGAGACTCGAGCTATAGATAGAGGAACACTGGATACTGTGCAGAGCTTTGCAACAAACAATATCTTCTGCACTTATATATTTTTGAGCTGTGAACACCCAACTTATCGAGTTGTGCAAAGTGAAGCCTTGATTAGCTTCTGTATTCTCTACAGTGGTACTTATGGCATAATTTAGCTTTGCAACACTTGCCTAAGTCGTCCTCGCCGTTTCTGCCTTCGTCTGCAGCCTTTTCCAGGTTGCTGAGGGATTTGCTGCGTGTGCGGAAGTTTCTGAGCAGGTTACGGTGTTCCTGGTAGGTGATGGGGGGACTCTCTGGACCTATGTGAACAGGACGAGGTGTGCCGTAGTAATTCCCTGTAATAAATAAGGGCAAGGAAAGCAAGGAAACCTCGCTTTAAAACAAGCACATGAATCTGTAGTAAAAATACATATTTTGGGGCTGATATACATCCTTTTGGGACAGAACTTCACAAATCAACTATTGTTGCAAATCAAAGCTGGTTAAGAAACAAGAAACTGGCATAACGTAATGGTTTGAATCCACGACACTTAACAGAACAGCCCGTACGTATGTTACAGGGTTTTATTTTCAAAGGTTAGGGTAAAAACCTTTGAAACTTCAAACTTCTCATCTGTAAAGATGAGAAGTTTGTCAAAATTTGTTTATTTATTCTTTGAACAGATTTTGTTTAGTAAAGTAGTTGTTTCTCCAGACATTTTTATCAGCGTATTACTTTCTGTTGCGCTGCCCTTGGCAGTTGGTGGTTACCATAGCGACCAGTAGCCGACAGCTCCGCCCCCTTTTTTCTGTTGCTCTGTTTTCTTTACAAGTACTATTTTAACGTATGTTTTAGACAAATTTAATCATATGCAGTGTTTCCTGAGCAATTTTGCCACATTTTGTATATGTTTTTAATCGTTATTAATGTTTTACATTTTAGCTATGGTTAATTTTACAACTGTTAACTGCTACTGCTAGCTGCCTTTTAAAGATGAGATTAGTTATGTGGATTAATAATGTAAATCTATGTTAAATACCACTATACGATCACAATTAGCTGCCACTTTTTCTGTTGCTGTCTGTATCTATGAGGCAGAAGCTGCTAGGTTGATTTTTTGATTTCCTCTTTTGTTTGAATAAATGCAGAAAACTTGAGTGTGTCTATCCTGAAATCAACCTACTGGAGCTGAGACCAACATAGAAGTGTTACACGTACATTATGTATCCCCTGGGATGGTACACTGTTTTTGTTATAGCCATCTGCTCCCGCCTCTAAAAACAAAATGGCATTATCCGTACCACCCCCACCTTCCTCCCATTTGGCTCATAGGGATACAAATGGGTTGAGGGGAAATATTAGATTAGCGAGCTAAACAGCAAGGTCACCAGCCGTCACCATTTACTGCAGCTTCTGCAGGCTACAGCGCGGCTGATACTGCTGACACTGATGGCAATGTGGATGTCAATGTCAGATGTGAGGCAGGTGAGGATGACATTTATTGGTCCCATTAAACTCATAAATTATGGATGGTAATGTATAGAGGTTTTTAATCAGAGGCAGGGCTCTGACCCTCGCAGGAGAACCGAAATGTGAGCTGAGCAGCACCTGATGTCAGAAATATGCGCCGACGAATGGGTTTTGATTAGCTGGAAATTGCTGACTGTGAATCTCATTTGTTATTGTGTTTAAAATAAAATTAACAACACTTAATGGTACAGAGAGAAATAGGGTTAGGAGTCTGGGGTAATTCAAATTTTTAAATCTGATTATGTTATTTAATAGATGCGAAGTATCAAATTTACCGTATTCACTGCAAAAACACAGAATATGACCAAGTATTTTTGACCTAGTTTGTAGTAAAAATGTCTTCATAAAATTTAAATAAAGCAAAACTAACTTACAGGACCTTGTTTTAAGCCAATAATGCCTTAATATTGATTAAAAAGAAGTTGCTCTATTGGCAGATAAATTTACTTATAACATGGGAAAAATGTCTTGTTATAAGTTAAATCTGCCAATAGAACAAGCACTTTTTAACCAATATTAAGGAATTATTGGATTAAAATAACCCTCTACATCTTACTAAAATGTTACTTCTAAGTTAGTTTTGTCTTATTTCAAGTTTTCTATGATTTACACGAGAAACTTGACAAAAATACTAGGACACTAGGTAATATTTCTGCAGTGTAGGCCTAAAAAACTCAGGAAGATTTTGTCTTTGCAGTGCAATACAAGAGGAAATCAAGCTAATTTGATAAAGAAGAAATCTAATCTGCAAAATATATATCTTCCCCTTGTGTTAAATCATATTTTGGCTAACTGTTGCTCCATTTTTCTAAATGTGGTTTCAGCAAAATACCATTTTCCTTGGATCTGAATCCCTGTAATCTTTAAATGTTGTTGAAATAGAGAAAATTTCAGATGTTTTTACCCTAACCTTTGAATTTCCCACTCTCGAGCAGCGCTCCGGACTCCTCCAAAGAGAAAAACTCCTCAATGGAGACAAAGTTGTAGTCCACCCCTGAGATTTCCCCGTCTCTGGGCTGCCTGGTCGTACCTGTGATGAAGGAGACAATGTCAAACATCAGAGCGATGAGGCTACATATAAAATCAGCCGTGACATGGATGATGTATCGGTTAATCAAACCCCTCTCCTCCAATCAAAGGTCATCAATCTGAGCTCAGCGTTCAGACAATCTGCAGATCAGCAAAATATAAGAAATCAAGCTTTGACAAATGAAGCAAAAATGTAAAAATTACACTCAGTTAAGCCAAAATGGCATTATTTAAAGTCAGCTTTTTAATTCGTTTTCAACAGAGCAGCCACTATTAAACCAAACTTTGCCCTTTTGTGTAATAATAGCAAGCATTTACCAAGGCCTCCTCATTATGAACAGATCGATACGAAGTGGATCAAATATTAATGAGACGCTGGGAAAGTCTTAAAGTGTTTCTATCACCGTTGCAAAGGTGGAGCACTTAGATGATCAACTATCTGTCATCATAATTAATTCACATTGACCTTGGCCTGGAAGAAAGCGGCGAGGGTGAGGCATCCTGCACAACACAGGATCTTTTCTTCACCGCTTCATGTCAACACTGCACATCTCCACACAGCTGTGTGCAAGCACAGGCATGCAGTGTGAAATGTGTCATATTTTTATGTTTCCCATTAAGCTACTGGAGTCGTTTTAATTTGCAAATTGGAAATGGAGAGCAACCATCGTGACCTTGAGACACATCCTGCCTTTCCTTCAGACTGAATCACTCCAAAGTAAAGACAAATCTCCGTCCTTCCCCGGGAAGACCACATGTGACGTCTGTCTGCGTGTGTGTGTGTGTGTGTATATGTGTGTGTGTGTCCAGCAGGATGAAGTCACACCCGGCTACCCTATAAAACCTGTGATTAATGCACTGCTGTCCTGGGAGCAGCTCTCGCAGCCACAATGACACATGCAGGACTGCACTGAGCATGCAACACACACACACACACACACACACACACGCTTAAGACGGGAAACAGTTTTCACACACTGCAGCTAGCTCTCACAGGTAGCAGACTCCAAACTCTGGGCAGCTCCTCCATCACTCTGTCCTGTTCCCTCTGCAGCACAAAGTGTGTTTACTTTGCAATCAGCTCTGGCGGTTTGCCCTCTGGGCTCCTGCCAGCGGTTAGCCCAGCACTCGTACCCCGTTTCTCGCCAAAACCTCCACAAGCCTGAGTTAAATTTGCCCAGCGCTTTGATATGAGGATGCTTCCTGCCTCAAACATTTCCACAGATTTTCACATTACAGGATTTAGTCAATGATGTTTAGTCAAAAGCACAAACAAAACAGCATCAATATTATTTGATACAGAAGCACATGTGGACTCAAAGTGAGCCACACGGTGGCTCTGGGTTGAATGTAGGGGTGCACCAATTTCCTTAACTTTGGAAGATCGGTGATCGGCCGATTTTTACATACGAAGCCCATCTTATCCACCGATCTTATCTAGCTTGGCAAAGGTCTAGGAATCAACCACCGTCCTCTTTTGCCGTCCGGCGAGAAATGTTTCAGCCCACCAAGTTATTTCTGCACGTTTACACTTAACAATAGTGACCCACTGTTGTTAACTCAACTTTCCAGCTATATCGAGCAACATTTCCGACAAAAAAAATTTGTATTGGCCAAAATCAGAATCGGCAGGTTAAGCTTTTTCAAAGATTGGTAATCAGTGATCGGCCAGAAAACTGCAATTGGTGCACTCCTGGTTGAAAGGTAGCACCAGCACTTCCTAGCATAATATTTTTACTTACACTGATTGTCAAGTGGGAACTTGGTAATTATAAGCCCAGATAACTTAGATATTTAATTGGAAAAAATGAACTGCAAAGCGCTGACGATATTTACTATTTTTGTGAAATAAAAATGAAATGTCCTTACCTACCTGTAGAACAAACTTAGAAAGTACCATCTACTTAGCAACCCAGAACAACTGGAACCAACATTTAGTTTTATACTAACAACCCTGAACTAGAATGAAACATGGAGAACCAACCAACATTCATACTTTTTAGTTTATTACTTTTCCTTTTGGTTTTATTGCTTTGTTTCATGTAAAGCATTTTGAACTGCCTTGTTGCTAAAAATGTGCTATATAAATAAAGCAAAATAAAGTAAAGGCCCAGATAAGAGAGCACTAGGTTATCTTGTCAAATTCCCACTCTGCAATTCATGTAGGTAAAAATATCAATTCATTCATGCTTTGCAGTTCATTTTTCCAATAATATATCAATCCATAAAAGCCTGTGAATTGAATAGATCATCAGATCACACTGGAACCGGAAGACATTTTGAATATCCAAAATAAATAAACAAAACAACAGAGACAACAAATGAAATTAATTATGAACTCTTTGTAAACAAAACTGTCCTTCAAAAAAGGTCTAGTTGAGACCAAAACACCTGATTAAAGATGTTTGTCACCCAGCTTTTGATAGAAAAACAATAAATCATACATATTATTTCAATTTATCATGCGACTAATTTATTTATTGTTTACTGCGACAGGTCCAGTGTTAGTTTCGCTTTATTTCCCATGTAATCAGACATTTACACTATAAAAACAAGACCAAAAGTAGTTGGTAATATTTTGTGTTTTTGCAGATTCCTGTTCATGTTCATCTCATATAATTCCTGCACCTCTTGTTTCTAAAAATATATTTACCCCTCTAATAATGTGCAACTCAAATTTAACCCCCCAAAAAATAACTAACACTGCAAGTGTTTGTGTCTAATTAAAGATCTGATAACAAACTTGTGTGTAATTCTTCTCCTTCCCTCAGGACACACAGTATCTCTCCAGCTGATATGGTGCGAGGCAGGGAATCATTATCCATGCACCCTCCTTGGAGTTTTATATTTATATATATATATATATATATATATATATATATATGACATGTCAGTGGGGGGACAGAATGGATTATTGACATCTTCTTCCCCGCCTGTCCCTGTAGGCGCCACACTCTCTGATCCCTTGCAACACGGGTGAGGAAGGGATTGAAGAGGTAATTACAAAGAACCGTCTCCGACTGTCTGCCAGGATCAGCCGCACACAAAAAGCAAAAACAACCAACCCTGTGCTGACTAAAAGGCCACAGACGGGCCGGCGGACACGCCGCAGGGAGAACATTAGGATAAGTTGAATGATGATGTTTCTTATCTCTGAGTCAGATGATTAGAAACGTCTTTCATGGAGGAGATGAAGGCACAGCAGCCTTCAGACCGAGACTTTGGCTCTGAATCATCCAAGGGCACATCTGCAAAACTCAAACTGTGATTATGAAAGAATGGATGGGAAAGTAAAACAAAGGGGTAACGAAGCAGCAGAAACCCGCAAAAAATCCTCTGAGTGAAGAGAGAAAAGAGGTTTATAATGTACTCTGAATTTCATCTTAGTCGAGGCACAACCCCATATTCTCACTGTGTAACAACACCCCAGTTTTATTGGTAGTTAATTTTAAATACAGGTTTGATTTTTTTCCATTTAGTCAGAAAAACATCAATAATTGAAACTGCTGCCGAAATAATATTTTACATCTTACAGGAATAATCTTATCCAAACGTTTCGTTAAAAAGAGAACTGAGAATATTCTTATTCTTAAGATCTTATAGAACTTTAAAGGAGTCTTTATTGTTAGTGATTTTATTGTCATTTGTAGCACTTTGAAATTTACACTTAAAGTCTCATTGTGCAAAACAAAGGCTCTTTTTAACATTATGGTCCTCAGAGAGCTTTTAAATGATCAGAAATCAGTCAGTTTTATTTCAAACATCCAACTCTTTCCATCTCAATGAGCTTACAATTTAAAGAAGTGGATGGAATATTTTTTAAAACTAAGAGCTCTGACAACTGCAACATATTTGCAAACATTTGGTCTCGGTTCGGTGGAAGTGAACTCTGTTGCGGTTTGAATAAACGTGAATGGACCGGAAACCAGTCCAAAAGTCAGAAGCAGCATATAAAAAGCAGGGCATTGTGGGTAATTACAATCAAAACAAACCCGACATTACAACACTAGTGGGAGAAATGACTCGTCGTGTTTTACCAAAGACAAAAGAGAAATCCTGCAACAATCTGATGATTCTCCACTTTTGTTTACATTTTGAGAAGAAAGTGTCTTCTTCAGAGGTTTTCATGTTGGTTTCTTCAGCAGTCCCCGGAGCAGCGCCACCACAGGCGAGGAGGGGAACAGGTTTCTCAAACGTTTGGTTCAGTTCGATACAGTGCAGTGTGAAAGCAAAATGTAGCAGCTGAAAATGTAACAAATGTTGCATCTTTGCTCCCCAATCGAATCGAGTCATTTAGAAATATGAGTCATTCCTCCTTAAAACCCTGTTGGGTTAAGAACAGCAGGTGCAAATGGAGTAAAAAATACCTGTTCCCAAAACATTCGTGCTGATCTTGTCTGAGAGTCTGGAAACGACGTTGTAAGGTCAGATTTTCGGTCTCTAAAACAGTAAATTAGCGTCTCTATTGGCTCAGTGGCCTAGCCTGCAGCTGGAAGCTTAACAGACTTCATAGTGGGATTACTGATACTAACATTGGAAACCAGTCCCTGCCTCCCAGTACCACACAGTCTGCCTCAGCATTAGCACACAAGTCCATTAGAGCGACGTCACTTTGGCTCTGACTGACGTTAGCTTTTAATTTAATTCCTCTCTGCAGATTATTGATACTCCAGCGTGCATTTACTTATTTCTGTCGTTCATTTCCATTTTTACGAACTGCCTTCCCAAATGAGCCTTTGTAATGTTATTTCTTGCATTAGTGCCAACTTCAATATCGAACAACATCATCTCATCAAACGATGCCTGAATTACTCTAAAACAACAGCATGAAGCAAGATTTACAAAAAGAGAAAAAAAAACCTTTAAATAAACAAAATATGTGATCTGATGGCCTAAACACTTTGCCAAGCACTTTTCAAAAAGTTTTCCAACCCCAGACTTTAGAAATAAAAACAGCACAAACTAACTAAAAAGCCAGTTTTAACTGACTATTATATAACATTTATTGCTGTTTATAATGTCTTACTATAATATTCTACATAGCAAGGACAAAATAAACTAAAATACAACAAAACTTTATGCTTTTTAATGTCTCGCATGCATCCTACTGGTCCGAGAACAAAACACTAATTTAATTTTTTCTCAAGTTTAGCAAATAGAAATAATTTTAGTAATTATATCTAACATTATATTATATTATATTATATTATATTATCTAACAAGAACAGTTTAGTCTGATTTAACTTCAAGCAGTCAAAAAAATATATGCCCTTTTATAGATTTATGAAAATATCTGGTTTTAACTGCAAATAACATTTTCCAAATTTAGGCTGTTAATCAAACGTTATATTCCACTTTATTAAAAAACTGTTCAGTTTGAATATGAATCACTTTGAAGGACTTTTTACACATATTAAGAACTTTTCAAACCTTGAAAACACCTAATTGAATTTAAACTATTTCTAAGGTTGTTCCTATTTTAAAAACTCAAACTGCACCAAATAAATAACTAGAATTGCAAGTGAAGAAAGAAAGCAGGAAAACGTACTTATGTTCCTGAAGGGGGCCACAATGAGCCACTGATGAAAACTCCTCAGCTTTTCGCTCCTGTTAAACACAGCTGCCTCATTCAGGGGGAAAAAGGAAAACAATACAAGCGGCAGAGGGAAAAAATAAACCTGTATGGTCTGAAATGAGAAGTGATGCTGGCTGTGCTGCGTGGGGACCAGGCTGCGCCGGTGCGAGCAGAACAACAGCATCTTACTGTGTCATCTTCAGGAGATCAGGGGATTACACACCCAGGGGGCCGAGCCTGCCTCGTTGTCACTCTTACTAAATTAAAACGCCCAGAGATGGCAGGAAGTTCGTAAAGTTTCCCAACAATAAAGCAAGACGGATTAAACAACTTTTTTTTTTTTATATCAATAATTAAAATCAGGGCACTGCTTCCTTAAATCCTTCTCTGGCTCGCCTTCATCTGATTTGCTCATTTTAATTATTAAAAAAAAAAAAGCAGAGAGCGGCGGAGTTAATTTGGATTGCGCCGTCCCTGAGCAGCCACTTGTAGATGCAAAGCGTGGTAATAAGATGAAAAACAGTTAAAATTGCAATTAAACTTCAATTTGAGAGATAAAGTGCGGCTCTCTCACGCCGTCTTGTGCGTTCTGGACCGCTCTTTGTTCTGTCGGCGGGTGAGTTGTGTGGCGTGGCGGCAGACTGTGCCATTTGACCTACTTCCTGGACTAAAGGAGAGATTAACAGCAACTCCACAGTCCTACGACAAGGTTAAGACTACACACACACACACACACAGAGAGAGAGAACAGTGATGGGTGGTGTCCTCTGCATCACCGCTTGTAAAAAGCAAAATTAAAAAACACAAAACAAGGCAGAAAATGACATTAGGAAAAAAGCAAATTGCGATTCCAGAGTCAGAAGAGTCAGCTGTTACATCCTGCAGCCGTTCGCAGTGACGTCACCATGGAGGGGATTAAGATAGCAACAGATGTACAACTACTAGCTGCCTTTGGCTGCCACTCTGCATGCTTTTATTCATTATAATCAAAATGAAATTGCTTGTGCAGGATCAAAATGAATAAATAAAAAAACTAGAAGAACCTGTTTCAGACAACTACCCTCAGATTTAGCAGCACCTGGTCAAACTGCCTGGAGCAGTGAAGCGATTGGGTCAATGCACAACACAAAATAAACCGTGTTGTGGCAATACTGGCTGCCCAAACTGGTTGCCTTTTACTTAAATTTTCATTTAATTTAATTAAAACTGACCATTTCACGTGCAAAGTTGAATTATTCAGTAAATCAAATCACCTAGCGGGAGCATGCTTCGACATGAGGAAGTGAGGAAAACAGTTCTGCATGCTTAAGTACTAATTAGCACCAGGATATTCACGTGACGGCAACAGGAGATACGTTGTCACAGAATTAATGAGGCCGGTAATGAAAACGAAGAGACACGCTTGGCTAAATTATGAACATAAGCCAGGTTGAAGTCGATTTAATATTAGCCTTAAACTGACGTGAGCTGACAGATGACATCACATGAGAGGTGTAAATGTATGCAGAGGAGACATAAAGGACACAAACCAGCAGTGGGCGAAGAAAGATCGGAGATTTACGAAGAAATTATGGAGAGAGAGAGAGACTCACAGGGTACGGCTCGGAGGTAGAGGTTCTCTCTGATGACCTGCTGAAGCTGGCTGTCCACTGAGCCGGGTGTGAAGCACTTACTCAGATATAACCTGAGATCTTTGCACAATGTGGAGCCTGAGGGGAGGGCAAACAAAACACGAACAGCGTAAAGAGGAGGAACCAGAACTAAAAGCTACAAATTAGCAGAGTTTCTTAAGTTGTTTCTCATGCAATTTATATTTTATTAGGTGCGTAACTTTTAGGTATTTTATATTGTTTATTGTGATTTAATTGTGAGTTGTTTATTGCCATAAGCAATCTTGTTTTATGGAGCTGTAATGTGAATTTCAATGCATGGTGGGAAGCATCTATTTATCCATCTACTAAGGATGAACAATAGAATCAATAGAAGAGGAAAGAACAGAATATACTTTATTGATAGCTACTCCATCCAAAGTGTTGAATACTGGTCAATTCAAATGTAACCATACGCAATATAAAATGTATAAAAATATATACAGAAGTGTCATATTGTAAGTGATTTAAAAACAGCTAAATATGAAATATATTAAATAAATACACAGATAAATAGCATAAGAATTGCGATAGACATATAATCAATATCAACAGATAATAAATCTGATAGAATATTCAATATATGGACTATTCACTGAACTTCGGTTGGTGGAATTAACTCACTCACTCTTTGGTTGCCTAGCAACTCACTCACTCTTTGGTTGCCTAGCAACTCACTCACTCTTTGGTTGCCTAGCAACAATTTGTTGAGTAACTGGCGCAACTGCAGTTTAAGGTTCCGTCACTTTGCCTCGTAACTTTTAAAAATAAACAACAACGGAGTGGAGTGAAAACTGTGGATAAAACAGGAAACAGTCTCGCCACCAGTTTGGCAGCATTTCAGATAATTAAAACAATAAAACCTAATCAATACTTATCAATATCGACCAATATGAAACACTTATATCATGATAGGTTTTTCAGCCATATCGTCCAGCCCTATTTATCTATCTAATAGGAATGAGGTGTGAGACATTGAGTGAACAATATAAGGACAAATAAACAAAAATGTATACATTGTCTTTCACAATCCTTTTCCGTTACCCTGATTTTGTTACACTGATTTAATCAAAAATACAGCATAAACACCAAATAAACTTAATTTTCAAACTAACATGCTTATTGAGCACATTATAATTCTTAAGAAACTTAGCTCATATTTTATTAGCTTATTTAATTGAGTCAAACTTCTTAATTTCTTTTTGTTGCTGTGTTTGTAATCTTTTGTTTTATTTCATCGAAATGGGTCTCTCTTCTAAATCATATCTTGGATCTCAATGAGACAATCTGTATAAAGAAAAGGTCAAATAAAAATAAAAGTTATACTTTGAGGGTGGTAACTCGTCTATGCCTAGCTTGATTGTGTCCAAATCATTTCTGCTACTAGGGTGGATTTAAAAACAATGTCTTATGACCTAACACTGACACTAACACCTCACTAAGCATCTAACCCGACTGTGAACCGAGTCTCCTTCATGTACAAAAATAGAGAAAACAGAGGTTAATGGAGACATAGGAAGGAGTCGGAGTGGATCAGCAGGACTCCGTTTCCTTTCTATGATCTCTTAATAACATCTCCAGAGCTTTACAGCGTCTGATGACGGCCCGCTTCCTGTTATTGATGGGCTGAACACATCTTCACTTGTCACCCTCACAGACGACAACTCTGTTGGTGAGACCCCTGCAGGCATCCGCCTGTCTGTCTGCACCCCTGACACCTCTGACACCCCCCACCCTCCTGTCTGTTACACTAGCTCTACCCAGTAACAGACCGATTTTAAAAATATCAAAGGATTCAACTTCATGTCTGGCGGTTAGCTGCATGTAAGTATGAATGGTCACATATGGAGGCTGCCTGTAATGGAGGATTTAATCTCGTCTGTTGCCTTTAGGGAGAAATTATGGGCTTTTGTTCAACATGTTATGTTTTCTAGTCTGTTCAGGCCTGAAAATTTGCTCTTTGACTCAATGAGCCAACTGCGCTTGGATTACAGAGCCAAACCTCCTGAAACTTCCCTGTATCATCACAGTATATCCATAAACTTCAATGTATTTCATTGGGATTTTAGGAGGTAGCACAAAACAAAGTGGCATAAAAATAAGTTTTCAAATATGTTTGGGACTATAAATCTAAAACATGTGATGTAAAGTTGCAATAAATGTGATCTATTATACTTCCCTGATCAGGTTGGGATAGGTATGGGTTATACAAAACACGTTCATTACAGGTTTTGCACAAAATTATTCTTAAATGATAAGACTTTAGTCTCGTCAGTTCTGCCTATTTTGAGCTCCTCTCAGGATGAGCTGTCTTAGGGCCTCTTGTCACTTTAAATCCAAATAATTTGATGGCCACGCCCCATAAATCAACGTTTACACTCACATGTCAAAATGGCTGTCAACAGTTGTGCAATTATACAACCGTACGTCTTGGAAAACTCGAAGCCTCCAACTTCTTCAAGATTTCAGCAAGTGGTAAGTCAACAACAAAACACTTGTCTTTTCCAGCAGCCATTGTACAGCAAAACAGCAGCAAAACAGCAGCAAAACCATTTCTCCAAAAGTGCTGGAACTCTGTTTGGGTTGCTTGGTAACAGGCTGGGCTTTGCTGAGGTTGCTAGGTAACGGACTGGGCTCCACTGATTTGTGGTTTACATTCCGGAGATTTTTGAAACGGCTTGGTTCCCAGACAACAAAAAATATTTAACTTATTGCCAAAAACTGTCTGTTTTTGTTTTGTTTTTCTACACATTTGTTTTTAGAAGCAGTAGAGAACCAAATGGAAGTAAAATAACGTGCAAAATGTGAAACTTGCATAATGGGTCTCCCCGTTTTCCAGCGTAAGAAAATTCTGTCAGTAATAATTTTAAGTTTTAACAATTCACTTCAAAAAACCAAATAAATCTCAACTATTTTTGGTGTAGCTTCTGGTCCAAATATCTTCGTAAACTTGAAATAAGACAAAACTAAATTAAAAGTAACGTTTCAGCAAGACATAGAAGCTTGTTTTAAGTCAGTAATTCCTTAATATTGATGAGAAAGTGTTACTTCCACTGGCAGTTTATTTCACTAATGGGAAAAATTACTTGTTACAAGTGACTTTTAGCAATATTAAGAAATTATTAATGGATATTGATGGAAAATATTGATATTTTCCATCTATATCAAGGAATTAGTTATTTTATTGATGGATTTTATTGAAATCTTCCACTGAAATATAACAAAAAATTTCCCATATTCTAAGTTAAATAATCCGCCAGTGGAACTAGTCATTTTTCTATCACAATTAAGGAATTATTGACTTAAAACAAGCTGCTATATTTTGCTGAAAAGTTGCTTGTAAGTTTGTTTTCTCTTACTTCAAATGTACTAGAAATACTTGGTATGATTTTGTGTTTTTGCAGTGTAAACACACCGCCCCAAACAATGACAGCTTTATATGTAGCTTAAAGTCTGTTCTGTCCTAAAGACTCTTTTTAAATTTCCCAGTTTGTGAGCATCAAGGCATCGCTGCTATTTGTGCTTCCTGAGTCTGGGGAGCCCATCTTGGTGTCCTGTATTTGAAAGCTGGGGCAGAGGGAGTTGTAGTAGTAGTAATAGTCCTAGAGAGAGTGGGAGGAGGAGGTGTGCCACACCGACCCAGAGCAGCAGCACATCCATCACTGTCCAGGTTGCATGCAGTCAAGCTGCCCGGGGATGGCCAGGAAGGCTTCACAGCTGATAATGGATCTCCACCAGCAGCAGAGGCACCAGGAGCAAAGGTGCCCATTTATACCCTTGTGTCCAAATCAGCTATCAATCAAACAAGCCAAGGCCACAGGGAGCCACGGTCAGGTGACATATTACCCTGTTCAGAGCCAACAAAGATATCCATGTCTCAGGCCCCCGAATCACAACATCAAGGCCTCTTGTGGTTGACAGAAAACCATATTGCAAAGCCCTTTGTCATGTGTCATCACTGATTGTGGAGACAACCCAAATATTGACCAGCTTACTTGACATGCACGCTCAAACACAGAGTCACTGACAAGTTGGCAGTGAAATGCTACAAGCAGCAGATTTGGCTCTTGCGAGTGTGAAAAAGGAAAATAGAGCTGAAAGTAAACAGCCTCTGTGCATCAGACTATTTTGGTGTGAAATGACACATTCACAGTAGGTTTGTAAAATAGGCAGCACCAAATTAAGCCGTATATAAGTGCATAAAAGTTTATTTATGCCAATATGAGTAAAGAATAGTAGTTTTCAAAGTCAATAAATTTATGCGTCACAGATGTTTAGAAGCTACAAATTCAGTGACTCCCTTCTTCCCAGCTGGCATCAAAGGACAACTGTTTCTGACTGCACTGGATTATAATTGGGATTAAACTGCAAAGAATGTAATTGGTTCTGGATTTGACTATGTGACTGGACAGAGTTACTATAAATTAAACTCATTTCAAATTAATTTAGGCTGAATTTTATTTTATTTTTTTAGACTTCATATGCTCCCTGTAGCTCAGCAGAACTGTTGTTAGTTTGTAAATCACTGAACAGCTTAGCATTATAATGTATTGAAGATCTGCTGTTGTCATAGCAACCTTCCAGACCACTCAGGTCTTCTGGTTCTGGGGATGCAGAGCAGTACCAGAACCAGAACCAGACATGGAGAAGCAGCATTCAGCTTCTATGCACCACAAATCTGGAACAAACTTCCAGAAAACTGCAAAACAGCCGAAACACTGAGTTCCTTTAGGGCCTCGTTTAGACAACAACGATTTCGGGTGAAAACGGAAGAGTTTTGTTGCGTTTGTACTGTACATTTACACGAAACCACCGAATGTTTTCTCTGACAACGGCACAGATTGAAAACGGGTTCCAGAGTGCGATGTTTCTGAAACGTACCGATGTCGGTAGTTGTGTAAACAGAGAAAATTAATCTTTTCTTCCAGAGAATCCCCAGCTCATCCTTAGTATGACGCAAAACATAGCTGCTTCCTACAATCCACAGAAGAAGAAACTACTCACAATGCTGCTGTTACTACAATTCGTGTTTCCCCATCAGATACAGTTGCCTCAGCGTCTCTTCACCGCTCCGCACCGCCCAGGTGGCAAAATACACGGCTGCTTGTTCAGCGCTCTTATCTAGAGAACTACGGACCAGCCCCGGCTCCAGACTAGTTTAACAGGGGGACATCGACTTATTTTGGGGGGGCAAAATGAGTCTACGTAGCTGAACATAGACAACAACATCAATAGCATACAGGCTACTTGTTGACAAGCTTAACGTGCTGTATTGATATTAGCTAGTCATCTTTTAGCTATCATTACCTGCATCCAACAGCTTTACTCAACTCAGTCGGTTAGTTTGGGGGAAAAACTGTGAAAAGTTCTTTGCGTTTTGCTGGTTTGCTGCCATGATTCTAACACACCTGCGCAGCAGCAGCAGGTCTACTTCGCTCCCGCACAGGTGTAAATCCGGCGCGAGCATCTCAGCGTTAATGTTGCGTTTGAAGGCGGCTCGGAAAAACAGGTTACGACTTAACTGATTAAACTGTTTTAACTGCTGAAAAAGGTGACAGAGGACACGGATATGGGAAGTGCGGAAGCTCCTATTGTATCAAATTGATACAGGAATAACAGACTGTTGGCCATTCCAAGGTAAAAACAACAAACAGCTTCCAGTCCAGGGGGGGAACAAAAATTCCGTTTTTGTTGAATCATTGTCGTGTAAACGCCCCCCTAGACTAAGCCTGTTTAGAATTGTTTTTGAAACATAATCAATGAAATACCGACCAATGTATTGGAAGTGTATTAATTATTTTAATGATGATTTGATAATGTTTGTCACTGGTTTCTCACTTGTCGACTGTTTGGTGTTTTTATGACTTTTTAATTTTGTGTTTTTATGTTGTAAAGCACTTTCAACTGCTGAAATATGCTATACGAATAAACTTGATTGATTGGTTTGATTTCAAATAAATAAAAGCGCATATTTGCTAACCTAATAACAAGAAAAAAAATTTTTTTAAAGTAATTTAGTGTCATTTTGTTGTGGAAATTCAATGCAATTCTTCCACGAAATAAGCTGACATGCATTTGTTTTATATCTATTATCTATATTTAATAATAATAGCTGGTTCTTTATCATTTTTAAGTTCTTAAGAGTCATTGTGGAAAGTCCAAAGAGCCAGAGGTTGCAGATCCCTGCGCTAAATAAACCAAAAATATTGCTGTTAATTCTTTTTACTGTGTAACTTCACAAACGGCAAACCATTGAAAAATATCACCTGAATTTTATTTGTACTCAAAACTAGAATCATACCTGGTGAAACAGTTTTGATACGGATAGGATGGGGGCAGGAGTTGAGGACTCCTCGAACATCTCCTAAAGTCATCCCCAGTACCGGAGTTCCCCCGATCTCCAGGATGATGTCTCCCACTGTGAGGCCGCCGCCGGGAGCCGACGTGACGAAAGGAAACTCTCCATAATCTGCTCCGCCACCAACCGCGACTCCCAGCTCTCCGGACGCGCCAAGCAAGGGGACGAAGGTATCCTGCACATTGGACCGCCAGTGCAGTTTCTTCACCGCTGTCTTAGACATGGCAAATGAGCTGGAGAGGAATATAAAAAAGAGAGAGGGAAATGCAGCGTTAGCAGAAAGTGTCAGGCTGTCAATTACATAACAAGCGAGGGAAATAACCTGTGATTTTCAGTAATGTAACCTTTGCTACTTGTCGGCGTCTTCCGTCTGGAGAGCTGCACCATTTCACATCAGAAGGTGCAAAAGTCATGAATAATCCCGACGTTTAATGCCTGGGATATTTCAGATAAGAGGGTGCTGGACTTGAAATTCAGGAATAACGTCACATGGGAACTACGTCTTTGTTTTATGCAAACACATAACGGCCTCCGGAACATGTTCTGCAGCCGCAAGAATCAGAGACTTTCCCTCATGTTCACACCGTTGGCTGTAGACTGACATTATGTTTACATGTAAACAGGCAGGACAGGAACTGGCGCATATTCCTGCGTGTTTACGGTCACATGGGAAAAATCTGTTAACATTTCAGGAATCTACGCACACACATTTCCACTTAGCTTAATTCAGCTAATTGCCACCGCTGCTATTGCTAAGACTACAATCCTAAAAACAGGCAGAAAATTGACGTCATCGTTCACAACTTCTTCTGTTCGCTGATTGGCTCGGTAGAAAATGTACAGGTGGGAATCAAAATCAAGAGGCTAAACCACAGATTGTGAAGTGAGATTTTAATCTGCTAACATTTTTTGCCAACCGCCAATAAAAATTACGGAGCTCCCTAGGGGATATGAAGGATTTTTCTTCTTTTGCGCAATAGTTCTGCGTTTTCTCGCAATGATGTACTGATCAGTTCATGCGGAATAATTGAATACTGTAAACCTTTCTTACGGTGGCCATCTTACTTTATTTTTTAGTTGCTTTAAAAGTTGCATTGAAAGTCTATTAAAAGTGCCAGCTTTGCATTAAAGTGTCATTATTTACAAAATAATGCAAAGTTGGCACATTTAATCGACTTTTAAGACAACCTTTAAAGCAACTTTGCATTGAAAGTGTCATTATTTACCAAATGACACTTCATGACAACAGTTATAGACATTCACAAAGGCTCCTTCATGTTCATGATAAGTGCTATGTCATGTTTGAGGCAGTGTCATGTTAGACTTATGCACACACCATCAAATAAATGTTACCAAATCTGGAAAATTTGCTTAATAAGTCACTTTCATGTTTTTAGTAGCAGTGTCTGTTCTCAACATTTCAGATGAAAGAAGCTCACAATGCAGTAAAAATAGCTTTTTTTAAGTGATTATCTTTGCTAGCCAAACTTTTAAGTGTTTTAACTCTTCACACCATTATCTGTTTTCATTTACATTTGCAAAAAATGCTGTAGGATCTCACTTTTGAGGTGAGAAGTTAGAAAGTAAAGTGGCAGAAATCTGCTGAAATGTGGCTCCTGAAGAGCAGCTGCGAGCTTGAGAGGCTGTAGACGTGGCTGACACGGTGAAGATCTGTTTGAGTTGGCCGTGATGTGACAGCTCTGATGCAAAACAACAGACGATGTTCCTCTGACGTGATCAGAGGAGCCCTGTCACCTTAACACAAACGAACAAACGTGGTCGCAGATCAAAAAGGCAAACACGGCGCATCGAAGAAAAGGTAGAAAAAGTTCATAATTGAAGGAATGCTGTGAAATGTGGGGGGGAAACAGAAAAATTGACTCTACTTTTGCACTCAGCTGCATTACAAACAGAAGGAGAAAGACAGTTTATTATTATAAATTATCATTAATTAGAGGCTATGTTGAAGAAAGGCAGCATAAAAGTTAAAAATAAGTCATAATTTTTTTACTGTTTATTTATATGACTGTGAGCTATAATTAACATGACAATAATTGTGAAAAATGTAAAAAAATAAATAAAAAAAAAACTGAGCCTGCAGCTGAAAGCTGTGACCAGGCTGTGCATGGAACGCTGAACCTGGGCATTAATGCATGACAAAGGATGTGCAAGGCAAAGTATTGAGGGCAGCTCAGTCGTGAGTTAAAAATAATAAGATTTATGTGTAATTGTCCAGAAAGAGGGAAAATAAACTGCTAACTGTGACTAGAAGTTTGGAGACTTAACAAACTGACACTCATCCAAGGGATTTAAAAGTGCACTGTGGTGAAAGTACAACCACAGCAGTAAATTAAACCTTCTGACAAAAAATTGTAGTTCAAAAGAAAAATAAATTCTGGCAAAGGGCCGGGTAATAAATCAACTTAATCTATGAATTGAGTTTTCTGTTTTGAAGATTTAATTATTGGAAAATCTTTTTTTTGGGGGGTGGGGGGGGGTCCAGAGTGATAATGACCCACCCAAGAACTACAATCTTGTGTGACAAGCATGTTTAAAGTTTCTATTTATTTCAACTTAAAATTCAGATCAACTCAACAAATGAATTACTTAAATAAAAGCCTGTTTGAGTTTTTTTTAATAGATATTTTCTAAAATAATATTAGTTTATGGGCATCTTGTCACTTTATATCCAAATAAAATGCAACTGGCCACGTCCCCCAACTCAGCATTTGCACTTGCACATGAAAATGGCTGCAAACAGATAATTATACATCCTTTGAAAAGCATTAGTACAGCATCCTGCACAAGCAACAAGAATGCAGAAAGTGGTTTCTGGATGATAATTCAGCAATAACACACATACAGCAGTAAGATCAGCTGGCCAAACATGCTGGACCTCAGCTTAGGTTGCTAGGTAACAGGCAGAACTCTTCTGGAGTCGCTAGGTAACAGGCGGAACTCTTCTGGAGTTGCTAGGTAACAGGCGGAACTCTTCTGGGGTTGCTAGGTAACGGCCAGTGCCTGCTGATTTGTGACATTACATTTGGAAGATTTTTGAAACAGCTCACTTTCCAGGCACCAAAAACATTAACTTATTTCCAACAAAATGTCGGGGTGTTTTTTTAAGTGCTTGGCTTGTTTTTAGAATCAGTAGAGACCCAAATGGAAAAACATGCAAAAATATGTAAAATATTAGTGTTAAATTTTTATGTGTTAAAATTTTCACACTCTGTCAGTTCTTATCTGTTTTAGTATATTTTAAAATGACGTATCTGCTTCTAAAAACATTCCTTTCCCTTCTGTAAAACCTATAAGATGCAATTTTCTGTATTGTAATATGAAATAAATGTTTCTTTTATCCTAACCCTTTATTTTAACCAGCTGTGCAACACAACTCAAACACAGGCCTCTCTTTGAGTAGCCTAATAGTGTGGACCTGATAAGTCGATGTGTGAGAAGGACAGAATGTGTCTAATCCTTTCCCCTTGACTGGCCCTTCAACAGGCGGAGCTGACAGAGATCCTGCTCCATCCTCTCTCCCTCCTCTCTGCTACACACATTAGATCCCAGGTGATTTGACCAGCAAACAAGGAAGAGAAATCATTTAAAACAATTAAAAAATACTAATAGACATATATGAATCTTACATGCGAAGAGAATAGGGAGGGAGGAAAGGAAAAACGGAAGCACAAAGGTCAAAGAGAGATGGAGAGGAACGGCACAGCCTGAGGTTGGCATACGACTCATTTTATTGACCTTGCAAAAGAGCAGCTCAGAAATAAAACTAGACGCAGGTTCTGCTGCATCAGGAATCCCTGCAGGAAAAGTAAAAATTAAAAAAACATGCATGTCATACTTTGTTTATTGTTAAAGCACAGTGGAATAAAACACTAATAAACAAGTTTTTATTCTTATCACATCCTCCATGCCACACTGTGGCCCCATTCTTCCTCTGTCTGCCCCACTGTGAAGCCTTCTGCAGCAACATTGTCATCCTGCTTCCCAGAAGCCAATCTGCCATCTGCCCTAAAACAGAGCAGAGTAACCCTGCAGGTGCACTGCTTGCTACAAGAGGAAAATATAAGCGAGAGCAAATTAAATCACGCTTTAATTCACCATGCAATGTCGAGACATGTTCTGACAAATATGCTCCCCTGGGCTTCAACCTTAACAACGTAATTCTCTTTGTGCGCCGTTTAAAGATTTCTCAGAACTGGTCAGCAATTCAGATTAAAATGTGGAATATAAATCATCTGATTGGTTTGGAGTATTATCCTCTCCTGCCTCTGTGCATATTTTTGCAGATGCGGTATGCATACATGCATTCGCCTGAGATTTTGCTGTCGTCTTGACCTCCCGGTGTCTGACGGGGGTTTAATGAGCCGCAGCCTGTCAGGTCCACAGACAGACCTGGACTCGTCCCCGCCACATTGACGGATGCCACAAACTGACCGAGCACGCTCGTTTCACCAATGTCTCTTCTAATTCAACGACAATAAGTTGTCATTCTTAAATACTGCGCTTTGTGAAGCTCAGATCGTTGAGCTCCAAACAATCTTAGCTTCTGTATTGCTGTAACAAGGAAACGTGTGACATTTAAAAGATGACAGGGTAAAATTATGACCTTCTATTTGCTGACTCACGCTCCTTTAAATAAAAAAAAAAAAAGATCTACAGCTGTGCTTGTGCTCCTGTGAGGCACAGATGTGATTGGCTCTAAATGTGATATAGATCTCATAATGCGGACAATGATCTATGTTTGATTTTTATAGCCAGAAAGAGATTTCACAGGTTGATGTTTGTGTCAAAATCCAAGCATTTATCCTTTTTTTTTTTACTTTGTTTATTAATTTATATGCTATTTTGAGAACAAGGAGACAGCAGAGAACAAAATACCTGTAATAACAAGAGCGGATGAAATCAAAAGAAAGAGAAAATAAGAATGAGAAGGATGAAATGCATAAGGAATGAGGTAAGAGAGTAATGATAAATGTTAGGGATGTGAGATAAGACTAAATAGGAGAACAGGGATGAGAGGGATGGGGGACAGCAATAAGGATAAGAGCAATGAGATTGAATAAAGGATGAAATGGATGAGGAATGGGAGGGATTGGTTGGCCAGAGGGAAATACGGGAGAGAAATGGAGAAAAACTAATGAGAAGGTTGAGAAATGAGACTGAATCAGAGATGAGAGTGATAGGGGAAATATGGACAAGAGGGATAAGTGGCAAG